CTACATATTATTCATTCTGTATATGTTAATTAACCACTTGTCAATGTAACAATTCAAAGTAATATCAAAAACATTAAGTTTTAAACTTTAGAGATATCTTCGGTATTAGGATGTCATAGACAGAAATTCAACACTAAATGATGATAACTGAGATTCAAGTATTTGATTAAATAACTGAAAGATCCTTTCCTAAATCCATTATAATATTTTCAACTGGTAATAATCATCAACTGTAAATTATGATATAGATTACAGGCGTCCTGCTTGAATATCTTGGCTCCCTGTTCCTGCCATCTGGATATTTCAACAAGTTATATGTTTCCTTGTTTGTTTTAACAAATCATTATGCCTATTAGTCGCATAACTTATTCAGGTGCGTTTGTGAAAACTTTACGACACTTCGTTGTACAAGCTACTAAAGAGCCCAATCAGAAACATCATGGTTGCTAGCAATGTGCATAGAAAAGAATATAAATTAATCAGATGTCTATTCCTGAACTGGTGAGCACTCAATATTTATCGCAAGGGTCGATCAAGAAATAAGAAAAGTAAACTTGTTGAAGTACTTTGTGCTGAGAATTCTATATTGTACCAAAAATATAGTACTGAATAAAGCTAATAATAATAGTAATAGTAATAATAATACATCATTTAAATAAATATCCGATCACGCCATATTCGATCATTATTATTAATAACGTTTTCTATCTCAATAAATACAACTCAGTCAACTAGTTTAATTTGCACAACGTTTTATGCCTAATATCTAAAACTAGGATAATAATATTAATGAATTTCGATACATGAATTTCCAGTAAATGGTTATTTCACATATTCGCAACAACTTTTAGGCGAATACTGATAGTTGTATGAGTAAACATATTACGAACAATACAATGGATATTAGTGATACATATATTTATTAACCTTTTTATCATTGAGTGGTCTAGTACTTGGATTGTGGCTACCATTCCAAGTGTTTAGAAGCAAACAAACGTGACATTAGTTTCTACTCAGTGGCCAGTCAGTTTAAATGCCTTGATCCTACAGGAAGTTTCTGTTCTGTTTGTGACAGTGAGTCATAAAGATTTAGATCTCACATAGAATCGTTCGTTTCTTCAGTATTGTAAATATCCTTTCATAGTGAACATGATTTAACATAAAGTTTGGGTCTTTAGCTTTCTGCTAATTGCCTGGAACTATCTAACTTCAGCTACACTGAATGCTATCTTGGTTTATTTAAACCTATGGCTACATTACAACTTGATTTACATACAGCACAAACAAAGCTCACTGTCTGACAATTATAAACTACTATTTATTCGTTGAAACTTAAGTTCACTGCTTGGGAAATAATTACTAGTTAACCTGAACCAGCCCACTCTGTAGTGGACTAATTAGCCTAATTATTAAGCAAGTTGTATTACTCCGAGTAAAAGGAAGTTGAGAATAAACTAATGGTACATATTCTCTTTTTAAAGAATGATTTGATAGTTCTTTAGTTTGATTCCTTGCTGTAATAAAGGATAAACATATTTCCCTACTCAGTACTATTCAAAGTCAGTTATATTGTCTCCAATTTAGATCCATGCTTAGAACATATTGCTTCAAGTATTAAAAGATAATTATTAAAGCTGTGAATTTACAGAGGTGATCTCCGTTTGATATGGGAAACATATCTAGACTCGCATATTTGATTCGCCGAATCAAACCAGTTGATCAGCCTACAATAATATCAGAACATAAGTGACAAAAGTTATCGGAAACATGCTAACAAAAGGCCTATATATATATGATGATAATGAAATGAGATATAAAATCTAATAAAACTCAGTAATCTGGACACAAAATAATATTTTAAGTGCGTATTCATCTGAATTCACTTATTTCTGGAAACCTACTTTAAATATAATGTTTAATCTACTCATCTACGAGGTAAATATAATACTAAACTGGTTAGCGTGTTTAACATACATTATAAATCCTCTTCAAACTTTACTTATCTCTATAATGCTAACTTCCAAAGGAATTTATCATTTCGATTAGTTCTTTTAATTTAGTTGTTTGCCTTTCTCTTAAGTAAAAACAAAAGCATATCACCGTTTAATTAGTAGTCTTAGAATGCAGCTATAATAGAAATGAATTTGTAACCATTTCAATAAAATAAGTTAACTGTTCAGATAAGTAAAAGGACAAGAGAATATTTTGTTAATGAAAAAAAAAACTACACATACGAAGCCAATTGTATCATGTAGAAGAACAAGTGAATGAAGAAAGAAATCTCTATTCTATAACATGAACTATTTTTTTGTTGTTGGATTGTTCAGATTAACAAGTAAGTAATATCAGTTTATATTTTATTTCGTAGCTCTCTCTTTTTTTTCTTTTCTTTTTTGTTAAGAAAACCAAAAGGAAACAACCAATTCACACATTAATTTAGGACACTATATTAATGAACGAATCATAAAACTGAAAAGTTAAATCCGTTTTATGAAGCTCTACTGTAATTTGTTAATTTTCATTACTAAACGATGACGGTTTTTGTGAATCACTTTTAACCATAAACTATTAAACAGATGTTTTCTTCTCTTTTTAAAACTTGTTAACAATGTACAACTATTACATTACATGGGATCATGGACAAAAAGGTTTATAATATTTGTTCATGAATATGATACGATTATAATATATAGTAAATATCGAATGCATTATTCAATTTGAGAATTAGCTTGATAATTACTTTATTACCAACATGGTCAACTTTATAAGTCATGTCATACAGACTTTGTTAAAATGTTAATAATTTATGGAAGACATTCATAACTTTGAAAAATGACATTTCCGTGCAGTACCGTTTAAAAAAAAGAAACGAGCTACGCAATTGTGTTACAATATCAAGTAACTTGATAATTTGGCACTTATAAATTGAGTCTACTGTAAAAATTCTACTAGCTTTTTGCAGTTCCAGGGGTATCTTTGTCATATTTTAGTTGATGTCAGTTTCAGTTAAGGAGTATTTCGAAGCTAAAAATTCACCTAAGTAATGTATGAAATGATCCTTGGACAACACGTACTGAAATTTAAAAAAAATAACCACAAACTATGTTTTCCAAAATTCTAACTTTAAAACTGAACTTAGAAATATTTCGAATATCTGAAATTGGTTAGAGTAGGAAAACAACAACGGATTGTTTGTCTTTTAAAGATATTCAAATGTATTTAGGGACTTGTTTCTTTCACAAAGACTGATCTTAGAAAGCAAGCTAGATAAAAATCGCAAACCGGAAGATGTTATACAACTGTAGTCTTTGGAACTCCTCACCAGAATGGACCGGTGACTGCTCTAGGGATGGATATCGCTACCTATAGGCTTAGCACCGATCGCTCTACATTTAATCCACTTGGTTTTCATTCGATGGTAAACATTTTCAACTTCAGTCGACATGTGATGTTATTCAATCATCATTAGTTACCGTCTGAGACAACTCCTTCATTTCTGTGATGATTGGACCCCGCTTCTCACTAGCAATTCAAGAATATGTCTCATAATTGAGAGATTAATCATTATTAAAATAAAAGATTTGTGGAGGCATTCTGAACTAGCATGGTATATATTTTCAATGCTTTCCAATTTGGAATAATTCTTCAGTTCATATCATTTGGTAAAGAAAGTTACTTTCAAAAGTCCTACATTTATGGATAAAAACCCAAAAGCTTAGAAATAATTATCCAGAATTAGTGAATACAATTAGGACAAAAGATTTTCCTTGCTACTGATTATTGTCACAAAACGTTAGTGTAAAAGCTCCGACATTATTCAAGAGCGGAATTATTTTTTTACTTTAATTCACACCCTACACACCTACATTTAGTTTATCCGGGACAATCCTTCTATAGTTTTCGTTGTTACCAACTTATGTACCTTGGTTATAAATTACCTGAGAATATACAGAAATTGAACAAGAAACGTATCTCATGTAGAGATGATGTTGTGTAGTTGTTACTAAGTGGAAAGTATAACAGTGCATTTAGCGTAGTGACAAGTCATTTCAATAAAGTAAGACCTAGCTGTCAGCGTATATACACTTGATTCTTTAACGTTCATTAGATCTACTGTTGCTATTTACATGTTAAAAAAAGCAACAATTTTAGAACAACAAGTGTATGTAGACAGGAAATTTCAGTTCTGTTGCTTTTTGTTAATTGTGTTGGTTAATTCAAATACTACTTTTTCAAGAAAGTACCTTCAAGTTAATCTGGAATTATCCTAAGTTATAAAAAAGAACATTTATTATATATTAACACACGACAAAGTAAGGAAATGCAATTTTTCGTGACTGGTCATCACTATGAAACTGAGTGAATTTAACTCAAAAACAATCATGCAGAATTATGTACACTAATGAAGTTACAAATAAAAAAACATCCCATCTGCTTAATTAGTTGACAATTCGTCCAAATTACATGATTGATAAACACTGAACAACACTTTCAAATCAATGAAATTTTTAACAGTTTACGGCTATTATTGTTGCGATTATCTCTATTATAAAAAATGAAGAAATAATCCTTTCTGTTGTAAAACCCATATCAAATAGCTGATTTTTTAAAAAGGCTATTATAATATATTAATTCATTTATTGGATCTAATTTCATCTCAACATTTCAAATAGGATCGAGTTGTATCTGTTTAGTATCATTCGAGTACTGAGTAATAATCAATGTTATGTTGTTTGAGTTCTTTGTACTAATCAGATTCTTTCGATCAGATTTGTAATGCTGATACTAAACTAATGTGATTTAATGTCACGATGAATTTTTTTAGATAGTTGTATAAAATCGATAGGAGACACTGAATCCGATTTCTGGGCTAGTTTGCATTCATAATAAATCTGCAATATATTGTCACATTTATTTAGGAAGAATATCAATAAATTCTTAGAGTGAAATATAAAAATCAGTAACTTGTTTTACCAAAATTAATTAACTTATCAACTCACCAGTATGTTCATATTTGTGCCTGGATAGTGAACTATGTTTAGAAAAGACTTTTTGACATTGATCACAAGCAAATACTTCCGTGTTATTGACGCCATCACTACAACTACTAATGCTACCATTGATACTGTCATTAAAACTATTGTTACTTTTTCCATATTTCTCCAATTTTTCACAAACACTGAGATGATATAAATGATTATAATAACTATTATCATTGATATGGCCATTAACCTTTTATCAGATTGAATACGCTCACTGGTGTCTTGTTGTTCATTGATTTGAGTGGATGAATTTTCAGCATCTCTTAGCTAAAGGGGTAAGAAAGAATCAAGATGTATACAATAAGATAACACTGAAAATGATTACACAATTATAAGTCGTTTATACAACTAGCTTTTTTGTAGGAAAAAGATTGTTAGTTTCAGCGAAGATCATCTGCACTTGAACCGATTAACTAACTGACTACTGATTAATAATCATAAAATTAGACTTGTTGCTTTCAACATTACAAATACTAAAATGAAACAACAATCTCCAACAGAAATTTTATTCGCTAAACTATTAATAACAATCAGAATGCTGGTTTGTGGAGATTGTAGTAATTTTAATTGTTAAATACATGAGTCGATCTAAACTAGAGCACTATTGGAAACCTGGGAGCACTGGACGGCCGTTTCATCCTAGTATGGGACTCCTCATCAGCGTGCGTTCACGATTTCACATATGGAACTTGAACCAGGACCTTATGTCTCTCGAGAGAGCGCCCAACCTCTAGACCACTTAGCTGGCATCCAACGGTGTTAATGTCTAGGGGTTAACTCTTTGCGTCAGAGACCGGAGGTCCTGGGTTCAAGTCCCATATGTGAAGTCGTGAACGCACGTTGATGAGGAGTCCCATACTAAGACGAAACGGCCGTCCAGTGCTTCCAGGTTTCCACTAGTGTTCTAGTTTAGATCGGCTCATGAATTCAACTATTAAAATATCAATACTAAACTCATTGATTAAACAGTATGTCAGCATTAGTTATTTTAAAAAATTAATGTAAAATCTATTAATTACTGTTGTGAGATGATAAAATATCAAAGACAATCCATACAATGCAGAATAACTGTGTTGTTTTCTTGTTAGCTCTCAGAAACTCGAAATGAATCCGTATACTTTCATTTACTCCTATATATTGAGTGAGTAGAAAGTGTGTAAAAAATAATCTGAATTTCAGTTTAAATTAGTTAACGATCACTTTGAAAAAACTTTAAAATGTCTATATTTCTTAGCTAGTCTTCTGCTTTATCCACAACTTACAGGTCAATTAAGTTAAAAAGTTATTATGCACTTCATAAGATCATATTTGTATCCTGGTCTATTTGTGTATTATCTTGTTTGTAACACGATTAAAATACCCATAGTTATATGTATGCTAACAGATGAATCTATGGTAATATATATGTCACTAGAATGGCCACCCATGTGTGTTTTTAAGTGGTTTCGACCTTACACACAATTTCTTTCTGGCTTATAAGTTTGAATTTCATTCCAGCTGTGTATTTAGAACAATTAATGAATTAACAATATCATGGTCACAAATATATCATCCTATACATAAACACTTGTATAATCATTAACTTTCGTCTAAATTCAATTAAATACTGCCTAGAATGGAGTTAACTTTTTAGTTAGCTCTTCACACCATCATTCTTTTATAAACCTAGTTTTTTTTACCATTACCATTGTTATCAGTAGTAGTAGTAGTAGTAGTAGTAGTAGTAGTAGTGGTAGTAGTAGTAGTAGTAGTAGTAGTAGTGGTAGTAGTAGTAGTAGTAGTAGTAGTAGTAGTAGTATCATCGTTGTTATTATTCTCCCTAATTAGTCTAGTTTTAATATTTGGAAAATACTTTGCAGCCTTTTAGTTACAAGACGTTTCTCCTAGACAAGTAAAAATCTTTTATCATACCATTGTGTAAATCCTGAATTATTTAGTCTACTTTTCTCAATTTACAGCTGATGTGCCTCACTATAAAATCATTATGTCTTTTGATTTGTCATAACAAGTTGACAACACTGGGTACTACTGCTAATCAATGTTAATAAAATTCCAATACTCACTATATTGAGTAGTTTATTTACTGGGTCACCAGTATCCTCGTATTCCAGTAAATAAATTCATGAAACAACGACGTGCATAATACTTTTTCATATTGTAATGAGAAAGTAACACTAATGCTTATAATACACTGTATTAATGTTTATCAGTTGAGTTATGATGATCATAAACTGAATGTTATATTACATAACATTTGTAAACAAAAACACCACTACAGTGATTGTTAGCCACATCATACTCAAAATGAATCATTCATGTCAATAACATTAAAGTTTTGCACTTTAACTGATAAAGTGTTGTGTTAAAAAAAATCATCTAGTTTAGATGCGCATAATTAGGTTTTGATGACTGTCAATCTATTCATCCATACCTTATTTTCCAACACTGAACATGATTATTCTATTAATAATCATAACAAATACAGTGAAAATATTACCTATTTCGATGACGAAACATTTTTAACCTATTCACAGAATAAATGCATATTTAGTATACTTATGGTGGATTACTAAGCCATTATTGTTGTAACACTATATTCCTTAATTATTTTATTGATGAATAATTCGTATTATTGAACAAGTAAATTACTCCTCAAGTATTTCTCAGTCACTTCACAAGTCAAGATCCATTCATTTTTAATATGTTATCATCAGCAATTAGGTTCAACTGATGAGGCGTAGGAAACCAAATAACACTAGAAAATCGGTTCCTTTTATGTTTATATTTCTCAACAATCCCCACTCAAGGCCTCAACAACAATCAAATTTAGAGTACTCAGTTGGCGCATTGTGTGCGATGGCTTTCGTCCAGTGAATTGTAACTGAATGGTCTACATTTCCAACTTTAGTTAATCCTTGATATATTGCAATGATTATCCAGTTTCATATGTGATTCTGGTCTTACTGTCGACAAAATTAAACTGCGCCGAGCATAATTCATGACCACAACACATTTCTTTGTTTAGAATTGTAAGTTAAACAACAATAAACGTTTGTATTATCAGAAACGATAAAACAGATGAAATTATTTAGGAATAGTAAACTCTTTTAAGGCAGCATATAAATAAAAACACAGAGAAACTATCTGATCTAATAAATATCAACAAGCATTTACAATATAATGAATGTGATAATTTTATATTCCATAAATTTCTGAATGATAGATTCTTAGAAAGAATATCTTTAAAGCTATCCATTAGCCCATCGAGTTACAGAAGTTATCATTGAGAATTGGACTGAGAATAATAAATTTTTCTCTACATGACCAATATTAGATTTTACAAGTCAGTTTTATTTTATCAAAAATTTACTCAGTGCTTTCCCTCTTGTTCAAAACAGCTGTTAAATTTAGCATATACTGACTATGACACTATCCTCACTCATTGTGATCAGTGAATTACAGTTTGGTTCTTAAAAATGACATTTCACGGCTTCCTGATCGCCAGAAAATCAAAGTTTTAAAGTTCAATCACATGTGGAACACTAGTTATGAGTTTGCAATGATGAGGATTCCCATACTAGTCTGTTCAATTCATCTAATAATTCACAGTCTTCGAGAGTCCCTCATCCAACGTTAGTTTAGGAATGAAAAGTACTTCCAAATTATAGGAACTCTTCCCAGTACCACCTAATTAGGAAATATTGGTTTTATTTTCATTTTTAATATCATTAAAATTTAATCTAAAGAATGATTTCTTTATTTAGGATTTCAATAAATAGCTATTGAGACTAGGTCCTCTAGTTTACTTGTAAACGAACTGAAGACATAGTACTGAAGTGTACTAAAAACGATTTATTTTAAAAATGGATTTAAATCAGTAACTATGTGCAGTTCCGTTAATTTGACTCTTAACTATTCCACCTGTATGAGAATAGTATCATTCCCCATCAGTCAAATTAAATTAAGTGAGGTGGGTTAGAAAACGTAGGTGGGAAATCAGTGTTTTAGTTTATAAATCACCATGTGATTGATTCTATTTAAAGCGACGATTAGTTACAACATATAGTCAAGGTGAATAGTAAAATAAAGGATCTAATGATAATTCAATTGATTTTGATCGTGTATACTTTAAGAACTGACTTTTCAGATCATATTACACTCCATATATAGCTAGCTCATCTAAATTTTATAAACTTTAATGATATATATACAGAGTTACCCTATGATATCCAGTTAACTTCTAGGAAGGAGTATCCGATAGAAACTGAAGGCGTCAATCCGTTTTTTATTTATAAAATATTGAGTTTCACTTCTTTTAAAACACTGTTAAGGTTAAATAACAATTAATCTTGACAGTCATATAATTTATGAATAATGTAAATATATGGTAACTAACTTCCTTCACAACGCTTTTCTTATCCATTGTGGTCTTTATATAAGTAGAATAGTCAAACTCATTTGTATTATAATGATTATTTCTTTCAGTTTTACAATCGTTACTGCTATCACTAATATTATGAATACAATTTCTGTTAAGTTCATATGTCCATGAAGAATTGTTAGGTGATATTGACCTAGATGACTGTGATAAATCCTTTATTGAAATATCATTTAAATGTTCTAAATTTTGATTTGAATAATTCATTTCATTTGATGTTCGTGATAAAAAGGAAACAGCTGCAACCGCTGCAGTAGCCGCCTCCATAAATGTCATTGTTGATGATGTTGACCAGATTAGGTTAGGTGAATTATGAATGTCCGGTTGATAAGAATTTGAATAGTTAAACTGTTGATTGTCTGTACTTAATGGTATATCATCAGGTTTTATTCGAGGCAACGACAAATCTAAAGCCTTTTCCTGATCTTCATGAAGCTCCTCACTTCGGCATTCCGAAATCGTTTCTTTCTCCTGTTGTACAAATGTAAATGGTTGTGCAGTTTTCGTCGTCGCCGCTGTCATCATCATTTCCAACGGTGATGATTGTGATGGTGGTGGTGAAGGTGGGATTGCCGTGTTTCCATCATGCGTGAATTAAAATCCTGTTGTTTATAAGTAAAAGATGATAATGGAGTTGAGTAGTTTAATACATTATTTCTGTGTAAATTCGAAATTATATGTTTCATGATATCTGGAGATAGTTGACAGAATATCATCGATGGATCCTGTTGTGAATAATTAGATGAGCACACTGTCGATGGTAAATTCGTCACATTTGTTGCTGATATAGACGATAATGAAGAAGATGAAGAAACACCGAGATAGGATATTGAAGGTGATGATGATAATGGTGAGAAAGAAGGTAAAGTAGAGAAAAAGGCAGAGGATGATAATGAGTTCGAAGCATAATTATCGACTTTATAACTTTCATACTTGGTAAAACTGTCATTACTGAACGACTTCGGTTGACGATTAAGTAATTCATGATTATTGAGTACTGAGATCACTGGTGAAGATGTAACTATATTTGCATGTTGTAGTGGATAATAGTGCGAATATTGTGTATTGTAGGCATTGACAAATTGTTTTTTCTGTTCCATACATTGATGTTGTTCAGTTGTATACAGATGTTGGAATAATTGTTCCGCATTTTCTGGTTTTATTCCAAGCATAATCGCTAATTTTGTATTTCTAACTCCGATTTGGACGAATTTTTCAAATCGTACTGACTACATAATAACTCGTCAGGTTGTTCATCTGCATGATGTAAATTACTATTATTAGCAATGGTATTTAAAGTGGTAATAATACTACTACTAGTAGTAGTACTGTGAACATGCTCACTAATTTCATCATTCTTTAACTGTGAATTAAACTGGTTCGATGAATTAGCTGGCAAATAGTTATCTAGTTTTAAATGATTAAATTTTAAAAAATAATCCGAATTATTAACTTGATTGACAGATTCTAATATACTTGAACAGAGCTAAGTTCAGTGTCTTCACTGATATGAATACTATTTCTAATATCGTGTTCTCTATTTAATACATTTACCTTGTTTTTGTGTAATTCAAAAGATGACGTGAGTTGGTTTATTTTATTAAAAGATATTTGATTCGTAAGAGTATCATTAGTTGCAAACATTTGACCAACATCGTTAATATTTTTGTTTTGATGAATACTGACATTAGGAGTATGTGTAATTGTTGTTCTAGTTTCATTATTACTGTTACCATTGCTATTACATTTTTTGCTTGACATATGACTTGAATATGAACCGGAATGGCTAAAACGTTTACCGCATTGTGAACACATAAATGGTTTTTCACCACTATGAATTCTTTCATGTTCTTTTAAATGATGCTTAAATTTAAATGCTTTTGTACACTGAGAACAACGGAATTTGCGTAATTCATAACTTTCAGTGTGACTAAGTAAATGTCTGTGTAAACGATAAATATTAGCAAATTGTTTACCACATTGACTACATATTGGTGTATTACGTGTAGATGAATCAATTTCCATGGTTGAATGTTGTTGCTCCACTGAATCATTATGTTCACGTTTATCCAATTTTGGTTGAATGGAATAATTAGTTGATGAGATATTTTCTTGGCATCGTTTTACATGTTGATTCACTTCTAATGTTGCTGTTGACGTATCAGGGTATAACTCCATTTTGCTCACTGTCAACTGTTTAGACAGTATTCTTCCACTTTTGGACGGTGATTTATGCTCCATGGAAATTTTTGTTTTTTTTGAATCAGGTTCACATGATGATGACGATGTTGAAGAGGATGATAAAGACGACAATGTCGAACATGGAGTAGATGAACAATCTGAAGTATTGATCATCCTTGAAGTTGGTGTTATCAATATTAATGGTGGGTTAGCCATGCTTCCAGTAGATATGTCAGGAGTTAAATAATTTGAAAATTCACAAGTTTTCAATGTTTGATATTGTTCAGTATGATCTGAAAATTTGTCAAAATACATTTTAGTACATGATAGTCATCTTTGAGATAAGTAAAAGAGGTGAAAAGAAGTGGATTAATTGATCTCATTTGAATTCTGTGATCATAGAGAGTAACTGATGAATTCTTGTGAGACATACAAACACTTCTGACGGTGTGTTTACCTTCTATCTGAATTTCATTCACTTGAAATCAAGGTGAGTTTTAACTCCCTTTCTATAAATTCTACTTCTCACTACCCTCCCCCCCACCACATATATGCCCATTTACCATACCACCTGGCAAAACAGGTTACAGCATTTCACCTACTATTTTTGAAATATAATATGATAGAGGCAGTAACATCATACCACGCCTACATACACCTTTACAAAAACCACTGGTTAACACGTGGGCAAATAGGTTAACAACTTTACTATTCATATCCATACATATATGTTATGTATGTACGTATATATGAATCTATTCAACCAATTAGGATACAGGTGAGATATTGCACCGCAATGTTTTCATGTGTACTTTCCTACCCTTTCAGAGAAACTAACAAGGAGATTCTAGACATTTTCTACTAGGTAGGATTTAAATACATATTTGTATACATAAGAAAACATACGTTCCCCGTTGGTCTATGTGTCTATGTATAGGATTTAAGCAATTTCTTGAAAGCTTTAGCACTAGTATACACCTGATGACAGTAGTTAAAGTATAAAGTAATGGAATAAAGAACAATGCGAAATGGAAAAAAAGGAGATGAAATTCGAAAAACAGGAATATGAATAATAATGTTCGAGGTTCGCTATGTTCAGGTGTGAATTATTTTAGTAGGTCATCACATAAAGTGAATTGTCCAATCATTGATTTGTAAAGAACTAGACAACGCATTATTGGTATAAAATTGTATCGTAGTTTTAGTTCTCATTAGGTGAGCCATTCCATTAGATGAGATGGGAATTTACAATTTCAAAAGGCACACAATATGTATACACTAAGAATTGTTATTCATGAGCGAAAGTCACCTGTATTGCCTGGAAATTTTTCACAGTTGAAATCAAGAGTTGAATTAAGATAGGTCACCATTAAAAACGTGGAAGCACTGGACGACCGTTTCATCCTAGTACGGGACTCCTTAAAAGTGCGTATCCGTAATCCCGCGAGCTTAACCTCTAAGACGAGGATTCAACATTCAACGGTATTAATGTCTTGCGTGCAGGATCGTGGGTGCGGATTGTCAAGGAGTCCAATACTATGATGAAATGGCCGTCGAGCGCTTTTAGGTTCTCAATGGTGGTCTAGCTTAGATCAACTCGTGATTTCAACTGTGAAAATAATACAATCTTCACAAATCCACATACTGAAAAATATTCACCATAAAGTAAAAATTATATATAATGCAAGCACAGTTATATTGATAACTCGGAAATCTGCAACTTTCGCCATCACATTTAGATTTCATTGAAAGTAATCTCTATCCAGACAGAAGCTCGAAATATTTACTGAGTTGTGTTTTTCCCAGCACCGCTCAAATCTGGAGTCAAAATAGCGTTCCTATGAAAACTTTCTTCAAGCCATTTAATTTCTCCTAAAATGTACATGAAAACATTACCATAACAATTACAATTTAATTATTTTCTATTGATTGTTTGAATTTTCCCATTTACATTATTGAACTGTAATTGATCATTCATTTTCGGCATATGCACATCCTTTGTGGATTGCCTCAATATTACCAATGAGTCGCAAACATGTTAAGCAAAGTTGGATGGTTCAGGCGTTGAAATCCCGAACGCTTAAAATCAAAATTTAGTTTAATATTTTTTAGCAAGTAGTCGACTTCATCGACTGACACCATTCAGTAAACCAAGAAAGACTGAATTCGTATTTCAGCCACGTTTAGGACCTGTCGGTAAAATGTCTACACAATCTTACATCACTGTCTAGATACTGTTAAAATCCAATGAGAGATCTTTTTTTTAAAGCTTAAACAATAGGTGAAGTAGCTTTATCCACATTTCCATTTGATAACTTTATGAGTTTTAATGTAATTTTAGAGTAGCATTTAAAGCTAACAGCTTATCAATAGTTAATTTTTTGTATTTCACAAATTATAACATTTTAACCATTTAGTATCCTACAAGAATGATCTCCAAAAGAAATATAACCGAACAGGACCAGTAAAGTCAGTATAAAGTACACTACACATATCAATAAACAAACAATATACTCAAGTTATTAGCAATTGGAAGTCATATTTATATTCTATTAATAAGATTCCTAAATGTCAGATAAATGATGGAGAATAAGATAATTTATACTAACAATTGATAGTAGAGTATAATGAAACTTCACGTATTCAATATAGTGCAAAGTTCCTTCAAGTAAATTTTTATTTAAAAGAAACTTCATCACCTCATCATAAAATTAAACTCAACAAGAGATAATTTGATAAGAAAAAATATAAAGACATAAGTCAATAAAAGATTGTCTACCAGTCGGTTATCTGTGGTCAATCTAATATTGAACTCAGAATTTAAATATTTAAACAACAAACCAATCATCAATAAATAATTTTTGAAATTTGGAATTTTTTATGATTATTCCGTTTTAAAAATGAAGAATATTTGAGCGAACAATTGTTTTCAATAACTTCATCATCAGGCTCTACAGTTATAAGTCCAAGGTGGTCCCCACCATGTCCAAGTATGGACATCTGTATGACCTGACTCAATATACGTAGATAACCTCCTTGACTGATGATCCGTATACTTGGGAAATTAACATTTACTTTAATCAGTTAAGAATAGAATCAAATTCAAAGGTATGTTATATAAGAATTTTTTAAAAAAAAGTGTGAAAATTATATTTAATAGAGAAAAACTTAAAATTAATCTTATTTATTTACTCTATTGTTTTCCTATTGTCGCGGTAATGATATTTGTACTTTATCATGTCAATAAAGCACTTCATTCTACCTTTCTATCATACATTTCGTTATATATATTCAGTTAATTATTTGAATAATGATAAGCACTTAGATAGAGGTAGTCAATACTATTCATATTTTAACCATTACTAATCGTCCATCTGTCTACAAAAATATTCACATATCAAAATTAAAATGATTAACCTTTGATTTCACATAAATGTTTATAAATATACATCTATGTATAATGTGTCAATGTTTACAGGTATGTGAAAATGCAAGTCTATGTCAAGGTGAAGGTAAACTTTAGTGAAAATTTTTATTCTAATAAGTAGGTTGCTGAAATTTAAGTTGATTTTGAAGATGCTTACAATTAGGTATCGATGTTAGCTGGATAAAACTTGAAAATCAGAAGACATTATACTATTGTTTAATCAGCAACATACAGCTTTGGATGATACATATTCTATATAAAAAAAACAAGTGGATCGAGGCTGAAAGGGTTTGTTTTTCATAATATAAGGGTATGTAAGCAATTGTCTCACTTTTGTTTCCATTGTCAACAACGTCACTGTAAGCTTCCAGAAGACAAGCTCTCTATTTGTTTAGTCATTTTATTCTTATTGTCATTATGTCGTCTGAGTGGCTCTTCCTCATGATCATTTTGTATTTTAATAAAAGTAAATCTGTGTAGAATGAGTTCTGTAACTAAAGGAAGTGATCTAGTGTTATAATCGAATTAGACGGGTGGGATCGCTGGAGAGTCTCTGCTGAGTGTGTAATGTCTTATCACTATGCGGCAGCTATCTATCAGTATCACAATAGTTTGGTTGTATTTCCTTTTCTCTGGTTTCGACTGGATGTCATACACATAGAACCATGATTAATTATGTTTGTAACTAACAACTTCGACTGTACCTGATACCTTGACATAGTTGTCGAACTTGCATATCGTGATAAACCAGAAGAGTTATATTAATTGGCACAATTGTCCCTTTAATTCATATCATATTATCATGCCGGTCGGGGCGGGTGGACAATGGTGTAAATAAAAGCAACGACTAAAGGTTCGAGAGTATAGTTATACCGCTGACTGCGCTTGAGTGTGAAAGTAGTGAGGTGTTTCCCTAAAATAAACATTATCTGCAGTGATGTTAACTTTTTATCAAGGAAGAAAACGGTTAGAAAATGTCGGTCCCATGGATTTCAGTCTCTCGCGATAAGGTCTCTAAGATACAGACATAACGCATAGAAAACTTTTCGCATAAAGCTCATGTGTGACTGGTTTCAAGTATTTGTCCTTGGGCTCTGTGGTTACGTTCGCATGTAATCATGACCACTATTAATCCACCTCATTTTCAGGTACCTTGATAAGTACTCTTCCATGGTTTGGGTACCCAGGAGATAATAACAGCCCACATAACGTTAACAGAACTCGAGATCCTCTTGTTCACGATAAAACATTTGATCGCTTCTCAGTATTCCTTCTGTCCTCACTGTCAACCTTTTTCCTATTACATTATCACCGAGTCATTGCTAAAGATTTGGATTCCCGGAATTTTATTCCTCGTTTCCTGAAACCATCCTCTGCACTAAATGTTGAAGATGTCAATATTCGGACTTCATGTCAAGTAGGAAAAAAGGTTTATCTAGTTAGAACTCTTGAATTATTTATGTACTATGTCGACGAAACACGCACGCTGGTTCCAAGTATGGACATCTGTATGACCTGACTCAGTATACGTAGATAACCTCCTTGACTGATGATCCGTATACTTGGGAAATTAACATTTACTTTAATCGGTTAAGAATAGAATCTAGTTCAAAAGTATGTTAGACTATCATAGACTGGATTTCAGTAGAAAAGTACTTTTGTGCAATCCATTTCAAGTGGGTCGTATAAATTAGAGCAGATAGGGAAAAATCCACTACCTCATCTTTTTAGTTTCTATCACGAGAGTGGTCGTGGATGATCACTGCTAACGAGTCTTATACCAGAACGAAAAATATACACACTCATTTCCCTTCCGAAATTGTTGTCTAATCAATATCAATACACGAAGTAAATCAATAAATATAC